GGGCCTTGGGAGTCCCGGTGGCCCCACTGCGGGGCCGGAGCAGCGAGGGGCGGCTCCGCGCCCCAGGGCCCCTCGCCGGCTGCCCCCTTCCCAGCACCCGGGGGTCAGCCCGGCGCCGGGACCCGGCACCCTCAGCTCCATCGCCGCCGGGCTGCGGAGCGGACGCGCGTCCCTGCGACAGGTGCTCCCCGCGGCCCCCGCCACCCTCACCCACGCCCAGCTGAGCTGCGAGGTGGCACCCAGCGAGCCCAACTCCTTCCCGCCTGGAAAAATGGGGAAATCCGAGGGGCAAAACCTTTCAGAGCCAGAGCTGGAGCAGAGTAAAGGCACCGCGAATGGGGAAAATGTGGGAAATGGCGCCTGTGGAACAGCTAATGTGGGAAAAGGTTTGGCTTCCTGGAGAGCTGGGGAAGGTCACGTTGTTCATGAAAGCAGCAGCCGAGCGTGCAAAGTTAAATCAGAGGGGGCAGGGAGGCTAAAATTAAAGATGGGAAAAACAACAGCAAAGGCAACTCTTGAGGACACGTAGAGCGCTCAAGGGCATGTCGAAGTGCTGGTTTGGAGGTCGCGCTCTAAAAATAAACCCAAACGCATGGAGCCTTTCAGGAAATAGCATTTAGCGCAGTTCCTGTTCGGCTGCCCTAAAAGGTCATGTTTGGGTTGGCGGGGCTGGGCCGGGCCAAAGGGCAGCAGGGGCTCCCTCTTCTTCGCAGCACGTCAGGCAATGCCAAAATCTTTGCGGGAGTGGGCGCAGCCAGGACCCTCCTGCACGGGCTGGTGTTGCCTTCTCCATCCCGCTGCTGCCCCCCGCTACCAGGCCTGGCCCTTGCTAACAACATATGGCAGGAGAAGCTTTTACGGCATGTTTCTGCTCTGTTCACACCTCCTTTTCCCTCCCATTCCTAGGAGCACTGCCAGCAGCTGGGGCTCATCTGTTCTGTCCATGGCCGACCGCGCCATCCCCTCCACTGGGACGCCCTGAGCAGGTCGCCGTCCCCATCTTTATCCCGGTCCTTTGTGATGGCAGCTCTGCCACTCGGAGGCCAGGAGGCTGCTGGGAGGCCGGGCTGGTCCTTTGCACCCTGAGCATCGCTGGGAGTGCAGCACTTTCTTGGATGCTCTCTGGCAACCCTGTGCTGGGACATGCCCTTTGGGAGCAAGCAGCAGGAAAAGAGGCCATAAGGGTGCCAGGTGCTGCTTTAAAACACATCGCTAGTTGCTCTCACCCAACAACCAGAGCCTGGGACCTCCGGGTGAGATTGCCCTCTTAGCAGGAGAAAGCAGTGCCGTGCTCCAACTCTGCTGTTGCGAAAGCAAATCTGATGCCTTGAAAAATTTAACTTTATACCAATCTAGCAGCAAAACCAGTGGGAAATCAGTGGGAAAGGATGGCCGTTGGCTCCATGGGACAGCCCGGGTCCCTGCTCCCGCAGTCCTTTTCAGGCACAGCGGGCATTTGACGACAAGAAGTCACAGCTTGGCGGAGAAAGGCAAAAAGCAGCTGAACTAGGCAACCCTGTGAGCAGCCATAAATCCAGCTGCAATCTCACATTGCCCTCCTGTGGGTCCGGTGAGGCTGTGCTGAATAAAACGATTGTCCCCCGGCAATTGCTTCGGGAGCCAAGGTTTGCATTAGCCAGCCAGGGCTTTCGCCCGGGATGAAACGAAAACTCAGGTGGAGGAAATGTTTCAATGCTGCTGGTCTGGTTGGTGGCTGAACGTGCTGGGCTGCCCTCGCTGGCCCATGGGTGATCATGGAAAATACATATCTGCACGCCAAAGAACAGAAAAAAATTTGCAGGGCCTCTGGCGGGCTGCTCCTGCGGGCTCGCTGCACTCCTGCAGCCTGTCCCCGGCAAGCAAACACATGCGGCTGAGAGGATGCATTTTCCCATGAAAGTATGAGCTGGGAAAGGTCATTAGAGGCTGCAGGAATGATGAAACAGGAGCAAAGGGGTCAGCAGTTTCTGTAAGGGGTATCACCAACACCAAATTCGGGTTCAGGCTGGGACGTGGCTCCCTTTCCACGTGCAAACAGGCCCTGCTCAGGAGAGGATTTCATCCTGGTCCCCATCCCCATCCTCTGGGGCAGCCGGGCCCTGTGCTACTATGGGGGCAACTGCTGTAGCACATCCCCGAGGGCTTTCCACCACCTGTAAACCACCCGAGGCCAAATCCAGTGCCGGACCCACCAGGCAGAGAGGCTAGATGCCTGCTCCACTTGGGGATGGCTCCTCCACCGTCTCACCCTAGCCCTCCCCAGAGCATTCACCCAGCAATTTGGCCCCCCCTACGGCTGGGCTCTCTCTGCTGCCAGGCACTGGGTACCCTGGGAAATGGGGCCACCTCACAAACCATGTTTCTTCAAAGTCATTGTAAAATCAGAGAGGGCAGAAAGACTGGAGGAGAGTGGCAAAAATGGCGAAAATGGAGAAAACAGCGAGCGCTTTAAAGAGCTTTTGTCAGAAAGATACCGGAGAAGCAGCACGGTTGTGGGGCGCGAGGACTTTCCCAGGGAGCAACGGCCCTGGCCGGAGGCTCTTGCCTGGCAGCGAGAGGTAGCACGAGGTTCTGGGGCTGGGGAGCTCAAGCCAGATGAGATCAAACGCAAAATAAGGCACATATTTTGGGAGTGAGCAGGATGAACCGCTGGAACAAACAGCCCGGTCTGCGGTGGAGCCGCCATCTCTTGATGTCTTCAGCTGCAGAGATGCTTTCCAGAAGATGCCGTAAGCCGAGCCAAAGCAGCAGGCTCAATCCAGAGTGAAGGGGCTGAGATTTCACAGCCGGGGATATCCAGATGGCTCGTTGACCTCAAATCCCTGCAACGTCCCATCTGACTGGCAAACGTATCGCTTTAGTCAGACCCTCGGTAACGTCGCTGGTTTTAAGTAGGACAAACTGTTTAGAAATCCCTTTTCCTTGCTGCTATTTATGACCCGTGGGAAGAGGATGGGTGTTTAGCATCAGATAAAGCACCCGCAAAGTCCACCTCACTGCTGCCCTGCTGCCGGGCCTGAGCAGGGGGTTATTGCTCTTTTATCCCCAGCACGGGAACATGCCTTGGGCCCAGGAGCCACCTCACAGCTTTTAATCCCGACGTTAGTTTTAACCCCGTAGCCTGGCTTCGAAACAGAGCAAGGAGAGGGATTTTTGAACCATCGCAAGAAACCGGTAGTCCCAAAGCGGCAACCGTTGCCATGAATCGCAGCAAGCAGCAGAGGGTGTTGCAGGCAAAGACACGCCTGGGCCGGCGCCGGCGGCGGAGAAATCGCTTTTCTTTCCTCCTCGGGGCGCGGCGGCCGCCTCGGCCAAGAGCCGCCGCGGTGGGTGGCTGGGTGCGC